GACCAACACCAGATGAATTTACAGGAGGGGAAAAGGTGAGCGACAGAAGATACTTACTTCTCACAGGCGCCCTTTCTATACCGATCCGCTTGGTAGATCTTCGCACCTCTATCATACCATGCTTTGGTATAGTTTGGATCTGACTTCCATTTCCTTTGATGTTTCAAACTCTGAATGAATGAAAATTAAAACACGCGTGATCACGAGGTAAGTACAGCGGCTCCGCCGCAACTAAGCAAAGGAGAGACGGTTCTAGATACGTGGCTTAATTACCGGCCTCTCAGCATTAAGGTACCAAGGAGCAGATGACATGTACTGAGGTATATGAGGATTGATTTCTTTTCCATCTTCATCCACCTCAGCTGGTGCAAGCCCCGCCTTACGAGCTTCCTCCAATTCGAGTTGCTTCCTATGATCTTCTCGAGATTTAAAGGACACTGGAATTAGTAAAAGGAGACATGTGTTAGCCTCGTAACCATGAGGTGTGGCAAATGCTCCAGACGAAGAGAGGAACAAGCAGGAAACGGGATGGAACTCTGTTCGGTGTTACCCTTCCCTTAGCTCAGTAAAGAGTAACCACCACGCATGGAGGAGGATTGCATTTACCCAATTCCTTCCCCTCCAAACATCTTGATGCATTGGAGCAGCCAGGCGAAAACGCAAAATAGAAACCCAGACTATAATGGGGACCAAAGCAGGACTAGCTATAAACAAACAAACTATCCTCCAAAATTATCCCACGTCCACGACGACGACGACGTACTAAAAGAGGATAACATGACGGATACGGCATTTTCCCATGTTTTAGGCTTCTAGCATTCTAGCGCGATGCGAATAATTTTTTTGAAGCTAATCATACAATTAGAAAAAGATCATCAGAGGAAGTTGGTCGAGGAGATTTTTACCATTTACATCGGAATGAAATAAACCAGAGCGTCACAAAAGTTTAAGCCCTTAAAAAAAAAAGAGAAGCTCGGTTTTTTCCAATCAGAAGATACAAACTCAAAAAAAGAAAAAAAGAAAAAACCAAGAGGGACGCTAATGTCTTCCCGCCAAGTTAAGGTCATTGCATAATTTAGGGTTATAAGAAATAAAACAAATTTCCCTGCACCCAATCAGTCAGGGTCTCAATTATCCAAGCCAAGAAACGAAGAAGAAAAGTAACTCTCCTATCAGTCCCAGCGTCGTCACTAATTATCGGGGGAGGAAAAAAGAAGAAGAAGAGAAACCTAGCAACATGACGAATCAAACAATAACCCCTTTTAATAAATAAATAAATAAATAAAACCCCTAACCCAGTTTCCCCCCCTAAATCCCAACCGAACAGAGGGCTGGAGACGCCTAATTTCCCCGCCTAAATTACCTGACGCCGTCGCCATCTTCTCCTCGGAATTAGAAGCAAAGGTGAACAGGGATCACCAGGGAATCGATCGACACGGATCGAGGGCTCGCAGAGCCTAATTTTAACTCCCCCGTCCCCGATCGCTTTTAGACGGCGTGAGACGCCCGTGCTAATTAATCTAATCTAAAGCCCAAGTGTGCACTTGGGCTTGCGTCTGGCCCAGCCCACTACTGTAGTCACCCGAGCAGATTTTTCACTTAAATCTGGGTATAATTTGGGTAGGCCTATGGCCCAGCCCACCCACCTCCCCTCGGAGCTTGCTGGTGGTAGCGTACTAGCACTCCTCGTTCGTGAATCGTGATCATGCCCATTTATTTGAAAATAGATCTCTGGTTTTAAACAACATAAATAAATAAATAATAATACATATTATAAACGGATGATGCGGGTTATTGTGACGTCCGGTAGAGAGAAAAGAGTCAAGAGCAGCGACACAAAAGTCAATGGGCGGGTCCTTCGCGTTTGGAAGTTGTGCGTGTTATGTCGACGCCGTAGAACGCATTTACAAGTACCTGGTGTTCTTTGGTCAAACGAAGTAGTCAATCAGTCAGTAAGTCGTGATGATATATCACGACATTCACCGACGACTTCTCCAGATTGTTGCTCTGGCTAAAATAAAAAATTTGGATATTTTTTTCTTTTTTTTTCGGGGAATGCGTTACAAACCGACAATTGGACAAACATATCTCCTCAAAGAGTTTTAGGGAATGCGCCCAAAACAAAAATAAAAAATAAAAAACAGCAACAACACACGCACACAAAACCCCTTGACCAAAGGGAAACAAAAAGAAACAAAAGGGAAAAAAAGGAGGAAAGAAAAGACCCCCCACAAAATATAAGTTAACTTATGCCTTTGATCATCCAATCAGCAAATTCAACATGAATTCAGTTGGGTGTATCATTGTAGTCACCACAACAAAAATTATAAATTATGATACCTTTTTTATCTTCACGTGACACATTTTTATGCTACACGTATAGAGTGCAACTCATATAAAAAATGTACATGGAGCGTGCGTGGAAAACGTTTTTCTACACATGTGGGAATTGTTGGAACTGAGGTGCAAGCCTATAGGATGATGAATAGGTTTGCTACAGATTTTCGTTAAATCACAAAATTTGTAGCGGAAATAATATCAAAATAAAAGTGAAAACCCATACCAAAAACAAACCAGAGAACACGCAACATTTTATAGGGGTTCGGATAGAAACCCTACGTTATGCATCTAATCTAATTCCTCACAAATGAGTAACACCTAGCCCTAGCTAGTTCAAACCCTCAATTATTACCAGCTTTATGCTGTAAAAACAGGATAAAACAAAACCAACCAAAATAGTTTAAGCACAAATCAAAAAGATATTACAACCTTTTTTTAAGAAAACCGTTCTTCAAAAAAATTGAAGCGGATCTCGATGAAGAAACGATGATGATGTTGGATCTAAGGGCCACTCTCTTCGCTGAAGCAATTCGAAGCTACTGAGCACAGCAAGGAAGAGTTTGAGACATTTGGGGGCCTTCCAAGGAGGCATCATTGGGAGGTAATCGGTATTTGGTTTTCGCAGTTGAGGACTGTTCTAAGCATTGGTGGGTTGCAACCAAGTCCCGTTGGTGTGAAGTCCTAGAAGTCAACAACAGATGGAGGAAGTGCATTGGCAGAAAAGTAACCTGTCGTTCTGTTTTTAGTAGGGGTTCTTTCTTGAATTTGTGCCGTGCTCACGACAGTTTGAGGCACTTCATTGGAGTGGAGGCATTGAGGCGACGAGATGAGATGACGGTTTTGGTGGATCGTTTCGTACTGGAGGAGGATCGACGTTTGATGTCGAGCATTGGTTTTGGTGTTCGGGCTTCGACATATTTGGGTCATCTTAATCATAGGTTGCCGACTACTGCGTTTAGAGATTTTGGATCTGGTGGAGTTGCTTTAGATTTTGGGTTACGTCGGATATTTGGTTACCAAGCATATGGTCACATCGAGGATGTGAGATTTGATCCGAGTGCACATTTGGGATTCAGAGTCATGTTTGGTTATCAATTGTTGGACTCTGATTTTGTTCTGAGTAGATATGAATCTACTGAGAAGTACATCGTTTTTGGCTTCCGCGCACAGCAATTATGTACCAAGAGCTTCCCATCAAGTACAAATTAAGATCATTTCATATATTAATTAATCCATCAGATTAACATAAAATGATAAATTACAATTTTACCAAGTTGTAGCCAGCTAAAAAAGATGGTTGTTAAAAGTTACAAGCCAGGCATACACTAATTAAACAAATTAAAATCCATCGGGTTAACATATATAAATGACAAATTAAAATTTTACGAAGTAGTAGCCAGCTGAAAGATATATAAGATTTCATCCTGATATCATATATATGAGTTCGTGGGAAACCCGGAGAGATAAAGACTCAGAGGAATAGAAGGGCTTTAGAGGCTACATTAATTAGAAGTCAATGGTTGGTCTTTCGCATTTGGAATTAAGTTCTACATAACAATTTTCTTATCAGTATCCTGACTTAGGATCAAATAATAGTAGGGTATTAATTAATTACACATAACTGATAACTCTTTGGTCAAACGAAGTAGTCATTAATTAATTACTAAGCTGTGATATATATTATATCACGACGTTCACCGACGACTTTTCCAGATTGCTCTGGCTAAAGTAAAATTTTGGATATCCTTTCCAAGTTTAAGATTTTTTTTTTATTATTAAAGTCAAAAAAAGAAGATCCAATTGCCTACAAACAGACAATATATTGGACTAGCATATATATATATATACCTTCTCAAAGAGTTTTATGGAATACGTATCTAAGTAATCGCAAGTTATTTTTACCCACCGGGCCCCAACAAACCAAAAAGAAGGAAGAAAAAGAAGGGAAAACCCCCCCCCCACAGGATACAAGTTAATTAAGTTATGGTCTTGATCATCTGAGCAGCAAGCTGTTCAACATTAATTCAGTTGGGTGTATTCATTGTAGTGTTCAACATGAATGAAAAATATGGAAATGTCGTCTATTCATAACTAACCCCAGCCCGTATTTCATTAAAAAGAGAATTAACGAAGCAAAACAAAAGGTATCAATTGAAATCATTATATATATTAATTATATCAGGTAAAAATAAAAAAGATAGAAACAAAATAAAATAAAAACTAAAAGAAAATACATAACTAAGAAGAAATAAATTATTATGCATGTAGTTAGTTAAATATATGAAAACAAAAGATTAGCTGTAAGTGTATGCTGATTGTTTATCAGCAGCCTGGTATCGTATCTATGTCTTGATACTTTACACCCTTTGTTTAGATTTTGAGTTTTAGTTAGAATGCCGGATGAGGTGACGACATATGGTCCTCTCCCTCTTCCCTTTCTATTGTTCATCATCTTACTCTGGGTATTCTCATGTGTACGTATATCTAGCTCTATAATATAAATCGTTTGAAATAGGGCATGCATCCTGCCCTATTTATACTTGAAAAAAAAAGATTAGTTCAAGAAATTTCAAAATTAGAGAAGAAGTCACGGTTTTGATTAGCTTTAATTAAGAACAGTACAGTATATATATATATTACATGAGATATGCATCCACATTAATTGAGTTCTCTTAATTAACTAACTAATCCTTAATTAATTAAATTATAACTCCGGCAAGTCATGCAGCTCTACAGACTCCATAAAAGTCCTCAACCAGAAGTCTATATTCTCATCCTCACAGAAACTATCCGAGCACAATAATTCTCCACCAAAATGGTTGAGTACTGACTGCTCTTGAGCTGTAGCCTTTGCATCCATAGGAACATCATCCCAATTCTCCATTGACAATGCTTCATTCAGTAAGCTCTCATCAAACTCTACCAAGTCCTGCGCTGAAGATGAATCCATAGACTCGTTGTTCGTGAAAGCGTAGGACGCACCCATGTTGCGAGTCTCATTTGTGAACGAGCTAGAGATGTCACAGTGTGACCAGCCAGGAGACGTTGGAGTACTCGACGGGATCGAGCTTGTTTGTGTTGCAGTACTCGGGTCTGATGTTGCTATCGTTACGGGTTTGGGTTCGACACGAATACTAGTCTTGGATTTTGGTCGCCTAGGCTTTCGCTTGGGTTCTTCGATATAATGATTTGCTCTCTTCTTCAAGTGAGTGTGCCATACGTTCTTGATCTCGTTATCTGTCCTGCTTGGCAAATTTGATGCAATCGCTGACCACCTACAGATCGATGTCACCAAAGAGTTTTAATTCTAATTCTATAAGAGACTAGCTTGCACAATAATATATTAATGGGATATATATATGATCAGATTGTTGTAAATAATTAAATTAGTACATCGATCACATACAAGTTCATTTATAATTTATTTGGACGGGCTTAAATAGGGCACTAGTACTGTTCAGCTCTTTATCTAATGTCAGTTGTGAACAAGTTGGTAAGGGAGCAGCACAATTTCGTTTTAAAAAAAACATTATATGAACAAATTCGTCAAAATAACGATCAAAAAAATAATGATGAAAAGGAGGACGGAATCTTGATTTTTCTTTTTCGCATATTTTTTATTGAAATTTTCTCCAGTAGATCTTGACTTAGAAAAAGGTGAATTGCAAAGAAAATGATAGGTATGCACTAACTAAATTAAAGCAGACAAATTTTTTGAGAGAACAGTAGGGGCAGATCGTAATAGGAACAAATTAAGTTCATGATGCAACTTTTTCTTTTAAGTTTCCTTATGATCATGCAAATTAATTAACTGATCGAATACAGACTGAGCTAGCTAGTTACATATAAGGGATTTTAATTTGGTCGACTTACTTGTTACCCAGCTTTTCATGCAAGTTGATGATCAAGTCCTCTTCTTCTTTTGTGAAGTTTCCTCGCTTGATATCGGGTCGCAGGTAATTAGTCCAACGAAGCCTGCAGCTCTTCCCACACCTCAGCAAACCTGAAGAACAATATTTTTTTGATCTCATGAGCATGATTCTTCTTAATCAAAATACAGTAACATCTAATACACAAACTCACTAACAAGTACAAAGTTTATGCTTGATATCAAGTTCCTACATTTTTCTCAACACACACACAAATGTGCGTGTGTGTGTGTGTATATATATATATATATATATATATGTATGTATGTATGTAATTGGTTTTAATTAATTACGTACGTACCAGCTCTTTTGGGGAGAGCTCTCCAGTTGCCGTAGCCGTGAGTTTGGATGTAAGAGGTGAGGATGTGATCTTCTTCAGTAGTCCAAGGCCCCTTCTTTAGTCCCACTTTCTCACAACAAGGAGCCCTCACCATTTTGATCCCAACCTTTTACCCCCCACAACTTTCCTCTTCTCTTGCTCCTGGCTGTGTATATATGTATATCTAGCTAGTAGTATTAATTCAATTTATGCCCTAGCTTTGATCCCAAGGGTTCTAATTCGTTCGGCTATTTATAGCGCGGAAGTAGGATCGGAGGGTTGGCACACACGTGATGATTTGTCCAATGAGCAATTAATTAATTAATTAAGCTCCTTAATTAATTTGATGGCAATTTCTAAGAAAGTGACTAGCTCGTACACACATGAAATGGAAATTATAAAATTCCTTGTCAGTGGATGTATGCTTCAGTTAGTTTGAAGCTGATGAGCTCACATGTGTGATGTATATTGAATTTAATCTCAATTAAAGTCGACTGAAAATTCAATTCTGGTGACACACTTTTCTACAGAAGCACAGAATGGACCGAGTCCAAAAGTCCATGGCATGCTCTTCTTTTTTTTACATCGCACGTCATCTTTAATTAATTAGCTAGCTAGCTAGCCATAAGCCACCACTTGCTTTTACATGCATGCATAGCTTGTTTGCGTCGAAAGTTGTTGTATTCATTGCGATCGAATCTATTACAACTTTAGTCATTACAATAAACTCGAATAAAATAAAAAAGTTGATCTTTTTATAAGATCTCCTTACACAATGAAAATAAAACAAGTTTACAACTTTATCAAACAAACGCAGGGAGATCGTTTATCGGTCTTCTGCTTGCGTGGGATCTTTGCCTGTGCCGGGGTTTATCCGTGGACCGCCTTAGATCTGGATCCGGTTGATGGAAAATTCGGTAGAGCTTCGTCTTCGCCGAGGAAGTATTTGATTTGAAGCGCTGAGATCGACCAAGCGAAATCAGGGCTCTTCTCGAGATTAAGACCAAGCCTAATCTCAAGGGACGGACGGGAACGGGCGTCGGATCTCTCGAACTCTCCTTCTTTATGCCGAAGAACTCGCCAAGATCTCTCAACACTCGCTGAAATTCGTGCTCCTTTGACTCCACAATCCGGCAGCACCTCCTCGTCTTGATAATCAATCGCCCCCGCTAAAAGGAGGCCATAGGCTTGTATTTATAGGGCTTCGGAAGTGGTTATTTGGATGAGAACAAGTGATTTGGCTCTATCTTCAGTTAACAACAGTCTAACCACGTTTGGGGATGATATCAAGTCAGTTGGGAACCCCTGGAACAGATAAATCCTGCGAAAACAGCATCAAAACCGTCAAAACGCGTTTTCGGGTCTCAGACTGCGCTGTTTGCGTCGAAAATTGCTGTTTTCATTGCTATCGAATCTATTACAACTTTAGTCTCGGACCAATCCGACCCGCACAATTGCGGGTCGGATTTGTCCGTCCCGCAAAGTTGCGGGTCGGACTGTTCTGACCCGCACAGTTGCGGGTCGGACTGGTCCGTCCCGCAAAGTTGCGGGTCGGACTTGTCCGACCCGCACAATTGCAGGTCGGACCAATCCGACCCGTGCTTGCGCGGGTCGGACTGATCCGACCCGCGCAAGCGCGGGTCAGACCAGTCTGCCGCGCTGTTTTGACCCCTTGATGTGTATTTTGATGGTTTTAACGGTTTTCTCGAGATCTTTTCAGTTCCAGCGCAGTTTTGTCGACTTTTTCTTTTTATGTTCTATTTCTTCCGAGACTTGTTCTTTTCGCGTGTTTGGTCGATTTGTTGACTTGTATGCTTCGCCGCGAGACCGATCATCGAACGCGCGTTGCTTGTTGATCGATACGTGTTGACTGATCGGCGTGCGCGTGTTGACAGACGCGCACGAGCTGACCGATGCGCACGAGATGATTTAACATGCGCTAACTGATTAGCGAATTTTCTTGACTCGCCTATTCATTGCTTCGAGTTTCGTGCGGGCTCTCATAGGGATTCTTAACTGGCTTGAGATCATCCCCAAACGTGGTTAGGCTGTTGTCAACTGAAGATAGAGCCAAATCACTTGTTCTCATCCAAATAACCGCATTCGAGGCCTATAAATATGAGTCAAAGGCCTCCATTTTTCAGGGGCGATTGATTATCAAGACGAGGAGGTGCTGCCGGATTGTGGAGTCAAAGGAGCACGAATTTCAGCGAGGGTTGACAGATCTTGGCGAGTTCTTCGGCATAAAGAAGGAGAGTTCGAGAGATCCGACGCCCGTTCCCGTCCGTCCCTTGAGATTAGGCTTGGTCTTAATCTCGAGAAGAGCCCTGATTTCGCTTGGTCGATTTCAGCGCTTCAAATCAAATACTTCCTCGGCGAAGGCGAAGCTCTGCCAAATTTTTCATCAACCGGATCCAGATCTAAGGCGGTCCACGGATAAACCCCGGCACAGGCAAAGATCCCACGCAAGCAGAAGACCGATAAACGATCTCTGCGTTTGTTTTGATGAGAGTTGTAAACTTTTGTTTTCATTGTGTAAAAGTCTTATAAAAAGACAATCTTTTTTTGTTTTCATTGTAACGATTGAAGTTGTAATGAATACCGCAATGAATACATCAATTTTCGACGCAAACACTATTGTGTTGAGTTTGGAGGATACTGTAGGCAATTGTGAAAACGTCGAAGGAATTTGAGGAAAAAAATTGAGAAAAACGTGAAAAATAACTCAAAACAAACTCCACCACACCCTGGTGTGGTGTCTGCTACACCCAGGTGGCAGAATCTGCCCTGTTTATCATGGGTGTGATGTCTGCCACACCCTGATGTGGCAGAATCTGCCCTGTTTATCATGGGTGTGGTGTCTGCCACACCCTGGTATGGTAAAATCTGTCATGTTTATCATGGGTGTGGTGTGTGCCACACCAGGGTATGGCAGACTTATTTTTAGAATCCTAATCTGTTTGGGATTGTGTTTTGTTATAAATAGAACCACGTTTTTTAGGATTTCTTAAGGAGAGAATTAGCATTGTTTTGAGCACTTTAAGAGGAAGATATTGCGAGGGAGTTAAGAGCTTTGGTTAGGGTTATATTTGAGTGATTTTGTGAGTTGTAACCCGTTGTATATCTCCTCCATATAGTAAAATTTCCCCATCCTCTCCCCGTGGACGTTGGCAATTGCCGAACCACGTATATCTCTGTGTTTGTGGTTTGATTTCTCGTATTTGGTTACTAGATTCTGCAAGTGTGTGGTTCTCTTCTTCCCCGTGATCATAGATTCGTTCAGTGCGCGTGCAACGCTTCCGCATAGGCGCGCTACATATATACCAATTTCATTTGATGCTGTTGGAGTGTCAATGTTTTAATAGGTTTAATTGCAAGTTGACCTCATGTACTATAGCTCAATTGCGGATGGACACCCCCTCCCCCTAGTTATGTCATTGCATATTGGGCTGATAAATATAATATAGTGTCAGACTAGTGCATGTTACATATCTCAATTTAATTTCTAGTATAAAGATATTCCATGTGTATGTTACAACTGTTCATTCTTGTGGATGACATAAGGCTTCTTACATTTCAAGATGTGATAATTATCTGTATCTTTGTAAGAATTTTCATCTCTTGGACTAGTAGAAAAAGCATCCCAGACAAACATAGCAACTCTACAAGCTTGAGCCTTGGAAGTTTAAAAGTAAAGCCTTGTATACAATTAAACTTTGCTAAATCCTAAGGCTGCGTTTGGGAACTTTGATTTGGATTTGAGAACTTTGATTTAAAATCAAGGGATTTTAAATTTAGGATTTGAAATCCATGATTTAAGAAATCTTTTGTTTGGATATCTTTATTAAATGAAAGGATTTGAAATCTTTGATTTCAAAATCTAGTGTTTGGGTACTTTATTATACATGAATTT